CCACCCATTGGAATTTTTAGACAAGTATTGTCCCAAGTATCACATTCAAAATTGAAAGAGAAATAAATGGATCCCTTCCATTCCTTGATATGCTTATCATGAGAAATGGCCAAAACTACAAATTTAAGGTATACAGAAAGCCCACACAGGTAGACAGTTTCATACACTTTTTATCGAATCACCTGGAGTCTACCAAAATGTCAGTTTTTTCTGCTATGTTCTTAAGATGTCTGCGTATTTGTGACTGAATTTATTGACGATGAATTGAAACACATTCGTTCCATTGCACAGAAACTCGGGTACCCTTCTGTGTTTGTTGATCATTGTTTTAAAAGGGCTAAAAAATCCTTTCATTCCTTTCAAACCAGGCAAATTCCTACACTTAAGAATATTTTGACTCTGCCCTATCGTAATGAATTTGTCCCGTTAGTTCGGTCCCTCAAGCTACTAAATATTAATGTTGTTTCAAGTATGACTCAACCATTACCAATATGTTAATAAGAAATAGCCCAAGTTTGAATGTAAATGGAAGTGTTTATTGTATTCCATGTAGCAAATGTAATTGTAATTATGTAGGTCAGACAGGAAAAACACTGCAGCTCAGAATCAAACAACATAAGTACAATATCAGAACAGCATCTGAAAGCAGTGCCTTGTTCGTTCATGTTAGGAATAATAATCATCCCATTGCTTGGGAAAAAAGCTTAGAAGTATTTAAATCATCTTGTGTCACAGAAAGACTTCTGGTTGAAGCTAGTTTGATTAAGGAATTAAAATCAGTGGCCCAGGGTTAAAAATGCTTTGAAAACCTTTGATCTAGATGTATGATAGTTATTTAGTGGGTCCCTTATTTTTGACCTGACCTGACTAGTCAAGTCACCCCCCCTTCTCTTAAGCTCCTCTACGTGTGTTGGTGTGGGGATTAGTGGATGACATCATTATGACCTGACCTCATGTTTTTAAGGTCACCCTGTATATTTAAGCCTCTCTCTGTCCATGTAATCCAGTTGCCTCTGAAGATGTCTTGAATAAAGACGAAAGCTAAGGTGTTCCGTTGTTTCCCTTTTCCCGTGTGATTTTATCTATCTATCTATCTATCTATCTATCTATCTATCTATCTATCTATCTATCTATCTATCTATCTATATATATATATATATATATATATATATATATATATATATATATATATATATATATATATATATATATATATATATATATATATATATATATATATATATACACACACACACACACACACAGAGTAGGCTCTCGCCAATAACAACTTCCACAATAACGTTTTCGACAATAAGTTACAATAGATACCCATTTTCGATAATAACGTCTGGATTCTCTTGAATAACGGAAATTTCGCGGGAAGCGTCCGAGCGCATCAATGATAGCGTTTGTTTGCCGCCATGTTGATGACGTAGTTGTCCACTCCGCCTCACTCTCACACACGCTCAGTGGAATACAGCGCTGCGCCCACGTGTGAGATTTTCGCCACTATAACCAGTGGTTGTTAGGGTCGGTGATCAATAATGGCTTCCGCATTTTTGCCTGTGGGGCTAGGGGAGGTGGTGGAGGGAGTGATTTGCCACCTGAATGACTGGGAACTTTTAAAGTGAGGAAATTGAACTGTCCTGAGTCTACAGTGCGAAATATTAAGAGGAACTTAGAGGAGACCAAGAAGAGTATTGTGCTGGCTAAAAATATTTCGGTAGTGATGGAAATGCGAGGCGAGCTATGAATGATAAAGGCGATAGAAACAGGTTGTTAGTGATAACAGAGCATTTTCTTGTGAAATGGTTAGCTTGTAGAATGAAAGACAGTGCAAGTGTTAGCGACCCTCAGATACGGAACAACCATCACACCAAGCACCTCAAAAACTCCCCCAAGCTAAGTGTTATATTACTCAAACTCTTTATTTTGATGATTGAATAACAATTCTTTTTATTTCAGCTAACAAAAAGTGTTAGGAGGGCTTCAAGGGGAAAAAATGGGTGAAATTCTTGTGGCGGCGGCACCAATAAACCCTTTTTACATGTATTTTAATGTCACACAAATAACGTTTTCGCTAATAACGGTGTTTTTCAGGCACCTATTAAACGTTATTGGTGAGAGCCTACTGTATATATATATATATATATATATATATATATATATATATATATATATATATATATATATATATATATATATATATATATATATATATATATATATATATATATATATATACACACAGTCAACCCTCAAAATACGAGGTCCTACTTTACTTGTTTCCACGTTTACGCAGTACCCTGCTGAACACGGAATGCTCACTTTCCGCGGTGCGTGTACCCCTTTACGCGGAGAGCGGCTGGCGGTCCTCTCGCGCCGCGCCATTTTTGGATCCAAACCTCCCGCCATCCGCCATGTTGTGTAAGCGGCGCGAGTAGGTTGCGCAGTGTATGTCTTTGTTGCGTTATCGGTGACGTCATATGACGTAGTGGACTGTGATTGGGCAAAGGAACCTTGCCTCCCTCCCTGCTAGCTGTGATTGGTTTAATGTAGTACTATGACGTGCCCCGCCGCGGGAGCGTTCAAGCCCCTTGACCTACCGCGTCAGTTACACCCTCCCGGCTACACCGTGTATATCGGTATCCATTGTTCCATAAGAATGGCTTCCACCGGACCACCACCACCACCACAAAGAAACCTTGCATTACCTGGACCCAGCCGCCCTAAGCCAAAGAAGACACGACGTTCCTTAAGCTACGAAATAAAATATAAGATCATACAAGAGTTGGAGAAAGGAACAAGGCAGGTTGATCTCGCGCGCCAGCATGGTGTTAATGAATCAACTATCAGGACAATTAAGAAGGATGCAGCCAAGATAAAGGAGCACATGAACATCACAAAGTCTACAGGTGCTTCTATGATCAAGTATTTCTACAACCAGGTGCTTCTCAAGACAGAATAATTACTTGTGAGCTACTTGGTGCGTCAGGCGCGACGGAACATGGCGGTGGACACGCGCTCAGTTAAGGAGTGCGCACGTGAACTGTATGCTGCAGTGTCACGAAAGATGGGAATTACAGAGCCCAAACCCTTTAATGCTTCCTCTGGGTGGTTACAGAGGTTTAAGAAGAGGAACAAGATCACCAATATCAACATTGGTGGTGAAGAAGCTAGTGCTGACCGTGTTGTGGCTAGGGAATTTTCTCCGTTTTTACCTGAGATTATGGAGGAAGGACAGTACACCGACGACCAGGTGTTTAACATGGACGAATCTGGTCTTTTTTGGAAAAAGCTACCTTCCAAGACCTTCGTTGTGAAGAATGCCAGCAAGTGTCGGGGCCGGAAGTTGCAGAAGGAGCGCATCACCGTCCTGTTTACCACCAATGCCTCCGGTACCTGTAAGCTCAAGTTATCGGTGATCCACACAGCACGCAAGCCGCACGCCTACAAGAGCATGGACATGACCAAGCTAAATGTCCACTGGCTGACCGCACGTAAGGCGTGGATGTTCTCTACACCGTCCCTCTCCTGGTTTGATGACTGTTTCATTCCCGATGTGGAGAAATTCTGTGAGCAACAGAATGTGCCATTCAAGATTTTGTTGCTGCTTGACAACGCACCAGGACACTCGCCCCTACTGTTAGATCGTCACCCCAACGTAAAAGTGGTCTTCCTTCCTCCCAACACTACGTCTGTAATGTAAAAGCTGCATTCTCTGCTAAAAAATTCAACCTCCTGAACTACTACACCAACACCAAGGAAGAGTTGCCTAACCTGAGTGACACCAACACCGATAGCAAGAGCGAAGACGATGAGGATCAACAGTTGGCAGAGCAAGAAGTACTTTTGAAACAATTCTGGAGAACATTCAACGTCAAGAAAGCTGTGGACTTCTTGGTGGAGGCATGGGATCAGCTGTCTGTAGCAACTGTTCGTCACGCATGGAGACATGTGTTGCAAGGCATTCCGGGTGTTAGGCAGAGTAAATCTGTGATTGGTGAGGTTCAGACTGTTGCACTAGCAGTGGACCTTGCCAGAGAAGCTGCGCAGTGTTACAGCTGCAGGCTTCTCTGAGACCACCAACGACGACATCCTGGAGGTGATAAGGGATCCTGATGTGACTACCAACGAGATGGTAGATGATGATGACGTCAGTGAAGAGGCAGGTGATGCGTCATCCCAAGAAGAACGCCGCTTATCCCATAGTAATGTAAGGGGTGTCATCGAGTGTATCAAGAAAGTCAAGCTCCTCCTTTCCGACGACCCTGACGCAAACAGGTATGAAATCTTCACTACCCAACTGTTGCAGACTATGGAGCCCTACATCAAGGTTTATCACGACAACATAAACACCAGCCGTCAGCAAAGCATAACAGAGTTCTTCGCCCGCAACCCACCACAGCCAGCCCAAGCCAGTGATAGTGACAGAGGTAGAGACAGTGATGATGACTTTGAGGGATTTGTCAGGGAGGCACTAGTAAGTGTGGATGACACCGATGAAGACTCACCTGAGGGCCAGTAGCCTGCCCTCTGCCTCGGAACCAGCCTCCATTCCCCTACGCCGACCCATCTCTTCTACTAACGTAAGTGTTAACCCCAACCTTGTTTTTTTCTAACCTAACCTTCAGTTTATTATTCTCTTATTGATTGTTCCCTTCTATATTATGTGTGGGTGAATACCATCATAAAGTTAAGATGTTATTTTTAGTAAAACGTACGTATTGTGTCGGGAAAAAGTGGAGTTTGGGGGTCGGCCCGGTCTCTATTTCAATTAATCCCATATGTTATGTTGTTCACTTTACGCTCACTTTACGCGGGCCGCCGTGGGTTCAATTAACCGCGTAAAGTGAGGGTTCACTGTGTATATATATATATATATATATATATATATATATATATATATATATATATATATATATATATATATATATATATATATATATATATATATATATATATATATTATATATATATATATATATATATTATGGACATCCAATAGAGGTGGCCATATTGAGGGAAGGAGGCCTGTGTAGGATCCCTCCATTCTTTTTAATATTTATTGTAGTAAATTGGATAATGTTTTATAAATTAATACCAAAAAATTCATATGTAGCTAAAGCTGAAATTAAATATCTTTATTCTAAGAGTTTTCCTCTTGGTTCACAGTTGACTCACAGTACTGTACTTGTTTTAAATACCCACAACCTGAGAATATAACATGATGCTTAAACACTTATCGTTTTCCATGGAAGGAAGAACAGGACTGTCTTCGTTACAATTACTCAGCATAACAATAGCTTCAGTGGAGTTATCCATATTTCTAAATATTAGATACTGAAAATACCTAAAGCTAAGGTGTTTCTGTACAATTCTAATAAAAAATATTGGCAAAAATAAAATCTAACTATCTCCCACGTACTTTAAGGTTGCTTAAAATATCTGAGACTTCATATTGATAATCATCCTTGCAACTCAAACCTCTCATGAAATTTAGTTTATACTGTACATACAATAAATTATTTTTTAAGTTTGAATATGGTGAAGGTGTATTTCCTGCTTGACCATACCATCCTCCATAAAAATACTTTACTCCTATTGTTTGTTCACCTTTCATAAGATACAGCCCTAGTAAGAGCTTCTTTTAACACCTGATGCATTGATCACTTATTTAGTCTAAAACGTTAACACACTTTACTTGCTTTCCCACAAATTGAGGGGGTAGTAGCCTCCAAGTGAGAAGGTTAAGTATAGCCCAAAACAATGTGGCTGGTGCCAGTTCAGCACACACCAGAGCTAAATATGCCCCAACAACCTTTTCTGACACAGGACTGAACCCTTGTCTCATTGGCTGGGAGTCAAGAATGCTACCAACTAAGCTATGGGGCCTTTATGAAAAAATTAAATATTGAGTACAATCATAGTATTACTGTTAGCAAGTAAACTTTAGCATTTTTAAAACAAAACCCAAATATGGAGGTGTGATCAAGTCTCACAGATGTGGGTAGAGAAGGAGTATAGACGGAAAATGGATGGGGGAAGCACACACACTAAAGCCTGTATTTTGAAGGCTGAACATGATAACATTTTGGATGATTTTGCCTGCTGTCTTTCTCATGCAGCTAGCTACTGTTGTTTTGTTTTATTCTTACTGTGCTAAACACTACTTTCTGCTCTTTGAGGTGACCTTCCAACCATACTGATAGATTTAGGAGATCGACTAAGATCATGTAGAAGTGGCGTAGCCTTATATAATGGGTGAGAGTTTTGCATGGATATAGTTGCTGGAGTGGACAATGAAGTGGACACTCTTGGAACATCAACTGGGGTGGGAAGGAGGGAAGGTGTTTGTGAAGAGGGTGGATCAGAAGTAAGGGGTGAGGTGAAGGAGTCTGTGTTTGCTGGGGATGAAGGGGAAAGCTGTGGTGACACTCCTGAATACACATAATGATGGATGATGGAAGCTTGCCCTCGGCCATACTCCTGCTGGTGTCCTCCCCACACTCCACTTGTGATTCCCCAGTCTCCAGCAGTGATACAAGGATTTTCATATCCATTGAGTCTTTCACCATACCCTGAATCACGTGACATTTGTGATGTTGTAAGGTCAAATTTTACCTTATGAGAAGTTTGAGAAGAGCCTGATGATGATGCTCGGCTTGGCCCGCTTCTTGGGGAATCGGGTGACTCTCCTGCACTCACACTAATTTTACTATTTCCAGCTTCATTTGATAAGGTCTCAATTGTTTTGACAGAAGTTTCCATATTATCTTGGACGGTTCTAGGAGTAGCTTTGTGTTCCTCATGAAGAGAGTCTGGCGTGGACTTCCGCTCATCACTTAGAATAAGAGTTACAGAATTTAGATAATTTGAGCCATGTAATTCGTTGCTTTTCCGAAGTGTTGGGGGTGTGGGCATGATTGGTTCAATGGTGATGTAAGTTGATGGAGAGATTGGTCGTGGTGGAATTTCTTCATCATCAGAAGACTCTGGAAGCTGTTCTGAGGTAGTTAACAGCTGTCTTCTTGAATCCATAGGAGGTGTCTCTACATAAAAACAATATCCAGTCCCAAGACGAGCAGGGGGCAAGCGGTGATTGAGCAAGGGAGACTGATGAATAGGTGCAACAGTGGCTGAACCTCTTCTTCCTTCTCTCAATAATAGTGATGCTCGTGAGACAACACTAGAGGCCTCACTTAGTGTCTCTGGAGAAGCTAAGGGTGCCACTCCTGCAACCCAATCCTCTTCTCCACGCCCAATCAGCCCTCTTCCTGCTTCTCTTATACCTAAGAGTAATTGTTCTTCTAGTGCTGATAACAGTTCCCAGGTTATTGCTGGGGAATGGATATGTGCATGACGGCGAAGGTCTGGTGGAGGTTCAGGTGAGGCTGCAGGTGTGCAGGTAAAAGAAGTTTCTAGCAGCAGTCTGTGAGGAGGTGTTGCCAGACGATTCCCACTCAATGTATTTGATGATATGGGTGTACTTGTGATAGGAGTAGCTTTATATGAATCATTAACTGGGCTTGGGTGCATGAGGGTGGGTGGGGTATGTGAACGTGAGGAGAGTAAACGGCGGGTTTCCCCCTCAGGGGTAAAAGCATTACTCTTCCGTCGGGCTGGGCTCTCGGACATCCGCTGTGGTTTCATCGGGCCTGGGTTCTCCAGGACCTGTTGGAATATCATACTTAGTGCAACAGTTGCTATAAATGGAGGGAAAAATAATAGTGTATTACTAAATATTAGGAACTACTTTGTGAAGTGAAAATATTGTCTGACTAGCCAATTATTCATGAATTTTTGTTATACCTGTACTATATAGGGGCTAATTAGGTCATATTTACTAAATGAGTCCATGGCACAATTCCAAAATGGTACTCTGTTAAGAAAATCAAATGTAACAATATACACGGCAGTCACATTATCAACATCTGAGTTCTCAGTTATGAAGTACTACAGTATATTCAAATACAGCAAACTTCAATGATAAATATGTTTCAAAAGAGTAAATATTTTGTGCCCTACTACAGTATATGATATCAATACCTGTACTTGAAGAGTACACTCAGTGCAATGTTGTCTAATGATGATTATCATTTGAAGACTGATTTAAGAAAAATACTCAACATCAGAATATTCAAAAGAAGTATAATTATTACAGTCTTCAAATGAATTAGTACAACTCAATCTTAGTACCTTCAAAAATACATGTCCAGCCAGTATGGCAACACATCCAAATTAGTGATGATGAATGGAGTTCCCCTTTGCTATGCCACTAATGTATACTGTATCTGCAGTTATGCAAATGGTTGAAAGCACTGACATTTTCTTCATTATCATTTAATGATTACCAAAAAGACAAAATATTCATCAAGCTCCAACAACATTGTGCATTAAATTTCACTACAATATTCTTACTGAAAAATTCTTACTTGGTAATATAAGACAAAACAAGCAAAAGAATAAGAGTGGAATAAGGGTTGAGCAATGAGTTTGGTTAAGGCATGAAGAACATATACAGTACAACCTTGGAAATCTGAAAATGTTGGAACCAACAGCATGCTGAATCTGTGCCCTTGAAGCAATTCTTTGTTAAAGTTCCCAAGGTATACCACAGTTCAATTTAGTGGTGCACAACTATTAAGCAGAATTTTCTAAGGAAAATCTTACGTATTGCTACAACAATACAATGGTAAAAATTGATACATGTATGTTACTGTGATGAAACAGTGTACTAAAGGCACGCATAAAGAGTGTTTTACCTAATTTTCATGTTTTTATTCCTATTTTGATCTGGCAAGGTGATTTGCTTTTTGTAAGTACGTACTGTAATAGCCTAAACTAAGTTTGATAAGTGTAATTTTCATAAAGAAATTCAGTGTGCACCACTAAAGTGAACATTACAATGACCTTGTGAGGAGAGAGCAAGCACAAATTTGTCAGTCTGGTCAACTTCTCAGTGTACTGTACACCCCAGATTGTTAAGAGAACTGTGCAACAAGCTTGCAGAGCCCCTTAAGATCCTGTTCTGTAATTGCCTGGATGAGCAAAAGGTCCCCAATGACTGGAAAATGGCTTATGTGAGACCTAAAATCAAGAAGGGCGATCATCACTCCATGAATAATTATAGGCCAGTGAGCCTGACTAGCATAGTGTGTAAAGTACTAGAGAGCATCATATGGGATGCTTCTACTAGGAAACAACCTTGTAAAGGACTGCCAACATGGTTTTATGCTGGGACACTCCTGCTTAACACAACCACTCTAGGTCCTGGATGTTTAGAATCAAATTTTAGAACAAGGCAGTAATATCGACAATATACTGTATACCTAGATTTTGCCAAGGTTTTCGACAATGTACACCATGAAAGGCTGAGAATTAAATTGGAAGGGTACGGGATTTTGGGAAATGTCCTAGTATGGATTGGAGACTTTCTTTACGATTGTAAGCAGTGTGTGGTGATTAATGGCACGAAGTCATCATGTGTACCTGTGACAAGTGGGGTACCACAGGGCAATGTATTGGGCCCGTTGTTGTTTGTTTGCTTCATAAATCACATGCCAAAAGCTATACACCCCTCCATACAAATGTTTGCAGACGATGCCAAGTTATTTTGGGAAATAAAGATTCAAACAGACTGTGAAGAGCTACAGAAAGATTGATTGATTGTGGTAATTATGTTCCTAGCAATGCAACAGCTTAGGTCATATGAGCTACAGAAAGATCACTTTGAGCTTCAAGAGTGGTTAAAGAAATGGCTTAAAGATTCAATGTCACCTGGGTCACATCAAAAGTAAGGAGGCATATCACATGTCCCAACAGGACGAAGAAACAGCATTAATTGAGACCGAATACGAAAAGGACCTGGGTGTGTATGTTGACAAGGAACCTAACACCTCGGGCCATTGTGAGAAGAAGGTGAATCAACAAACTGGTAGGTCTTACAAGAAGGTCATTTAAACATCTGGATGGTCCATTGCTAGAAAAATCTTCAAGAGTAAGGTGCTTCCCTGGCTAGAGTACTGTCACCCCGTCTGGTCCCCGAGATATGCCAGAGACTGTCAATTGATTGAAAATGTCCAAATAGGGCCACAAGACTGGTGCCTGCTCTGCATAACCTCAGCTACCCAGAGAGATTAGAATGCCTGAAACTGCCGAACTTATACTACAGACAGGCAAGGGACGACCTAATCAAAGTGTATAAACATCTCAGAGGGCACTACTCAGTTGAATGTACAGCATGCCCTTAAAATTTGCGGTGTTTAGGTTTCAAATGGCCGCAAATAGCCAAATTCACGAATAACATTTGCTGACGACCGGGGAATAGATTTTTTCTCATGTGGAAAGAAATATATATGTGTAAAAGAAAATACTGTGTCTAGAACAAGTGGCTCCCTGTCCCGACCACGAAAATGCCAGCAACTTTAAAGCTACCCTCAGACATTCTTGGGTACATCCAGGGTGTCATCTGCGAATAATCGAGGTCTGCGAATTAAAAATTCGCGAATTATCAGGGCATGCTGTACATACCTAGAGCTGGCGGACACTTGCCCCACAAGGGGTCACAGCTCAAGGTTGAAGAAGCCACGAGTCCAAAAAACTGAGGGCAAACTTTTTCGAGGAATCATGAACTTTAGAACAACCTGCCACAAATTTTTTTGACAGCACTGAGTGAGCTCTTTCAAGGTCAGACTTGACTAACACTGGAGCAGGTTCTGATATATTCAGGAGCCAGTACATGCCCAGTACTCACCAAGAATGCGTAACAGAGACGTGACCGACTGCCCAAGCGGCTAACAAACTGATCAGTATAAGAGGATAAAAGTAAAAAGTAAAGTACCTATTACAGTAGTCATTAAATCACTTTTTTCTGTTTACAGTATGCAATTCTAATAAAAAAGAACTGTACTGTACTGTACTGTATTGATCCTGAGAATATGTTAGACATTTTTAAACATGACAGTACTAGTTCACAAAATTGAGGCATAAACACTGCTACACCTGAAACCAGCTGATGTTTACAAACTTTACATCAAGGGTGTGGGACACTCAAAACAGTTATTTTTACACTTTTATATACTGGTTCAAATGTTCTGATTTCTGAGAGGCTTGGTTAACTAATTTCTGAATTTCCAAGGTTCTACTGCATGTTAAACTCTGTGGTGATTTGATGTGATGTGATTATGTATATATACAGGAGGCCCCTGCCCTACTTAACGCTCAACTTAAGTAACTTCCATCCTTGATAATGAGGTTAAACTGAAATTTACAGCATTTTATTTACCTGATGACATATTTTTGCTTTCATTTACTGTATCTTGTCATTCTATTTCTTCTTTGTCGTAAATTAAGAGATTCCAACTTAAAAGTAAATGACTTATGCTAAGCGATAGTAGTGGGATTTTAAACATTGTTCTGTAAGATTGGTAAGCACATAGCATGTGTTCCAACTTATGAAAGTCCTCAGGAACAGAACCCAGAGACCCCCTGTATATCTGGTGTGACTTGAAACAAAACCGTTTTTCTAAAAAACAGTTTTTGTGATATGGTCCAGAATGTGATGTCCACTTTATACCTTAGGTATGTAAATGCCTAGCATTAACTCGCCAGGCCAACATACAGGAAATAAAACATCTAATAATTAAAAAAACATGAGTTAAATAACACTTTATATTTTATTTCACTTACTGATGAACGATGGTAACTTTTACTTGATTATTGCAAGACAACAGCACATCAAAGTAATTAATAAGATGAAAGGGAACCAGACAAAAAAAAAATTTAATAGATACTGAAATGGATTTTAAACAAATTTAAATTTACAAGGTTTTTCATGCTGCATTACCTGACAGAAGAAGAAATGAGAGAGAGAGAGAGAGAGAGAGAGAGAGAGAGAGAGAGAGAGAGAAGAAGAGAGAGAGAAGAAGAGAGAGAGAGAGAGAGAGAGAGAGAGAGAGAGAGAGAGAGAGAGAGAGAAGAAGAAGAGAGAGAGAGGAGAGAGAGAGAGAGAGAGAGAGAGAGAGAAGAAGAGAGAGAGAGAGAGAGAGAGAGAGAGAGAAGAAGAGAGAGAGAGAAGAAGAGAGAGAGAGAGAGAGAGAGAGAGAGAGAGAGAGAGAGAGAGAGAGAGAAGAGAGAAGAGAGAGAGAGAGAGAGAGAGAGAGAGAGAGAGAGAGAGAGAGAGAGAGAGAGGAAGAAGAGAGGAGAGAGAAGAAGAGAGAGAGAGAAGAAGAGAGAGAGAGAAGAAGAGAGAGAGAGAAGAAGAAGAGAGAGAGAGAGAGAAGAAGAAGAGAGAGAGAGAGAGAGAGAGAGAGAGAAGAAGAGAGAGAGAGAGAAGAGAGAGAGAGAGAGAAGAAGAGAGAGAGAGAGAGAAGAGAGAAGAAGACAGAGAGAGAGAGAGAGAGGAGAGAGAGAGAGAGAGAAGAAGAAGAAGAGAGAGAGAGAAGAAGAGAGAGAGAAGAAGAGAGAGAGAGAAGAAGAGAGAGAGAGAGAGAGAGAGAGAGAGAGAGAGAGAGAGAGAGAGAGAGAGAGAGAGAGAGAGAGAGAGAGAGAGAGAGAGAGAGAGAGAGAAGAAGAGAGAGAGAGAGAGAGAGAGAGAGAGAGAGAGAGAGAGAGAGAGAGAGAGAGAGAGAGAGAGAGAGAGAGAGAGAGAGAGAGAGAGAGAGAGAGAGAGA